CTTACTTATTTCAACGTAAACAATGGACCCTGATGATACGCCAATTTGTAACTAAAAACATCACATGTAAGCACGCAACGCAGAACGGTTAATCAATGTATTTGAATGAACTCCCAACTAGAATCTCTATACGTTGCATTCATAGCACTACAGGGCATTACTCATTCTTTACTATCTTTCGGTGTTAAGTGCTATAATTCAGGTGGGCGGAGATAAAAAATTACAAAGGGAAACACGAGTTTCAACATTATTTAAATATGCATTGCATATTTGTTAAATAATTCGTGAAAATTCACTCGTGATCCCATTTACAAGCAGCAGAAGTCGATATCTTGGCCGTGCTGGCCCCTGTAACAGCCAGTCACGCCATCACGCCTAGAATAGTGGCGCGAAGTGCATGCCGGGTCGAGCAACACCCCACACTTCGCATGAATGAAACAATGTGGGCAGTACCGACCATTCAACCCATTTTTCCACAAAATCTCCAAAGTAAACTAATGCTTTTCATGTTCCGCCAATTCATGAGTAGGACTGACACTAGACTATTCTGGGCTATGACTGAGGTAGGAAACATCTCACAAACGTCGGTAAACGTCAGACTACACGGAGCAACAACCCAGAAGACATCCATCAACAAGGCTAAAGGCTTTGCACCATGCGATATTATAGTTCAGTGGTTGGAGTGCGTGCTTCAGACTTCAAAGTCCGGGTTTCAACCACAACCTAAAGTTCGATTTCTTTTACAATTACATTTTGAGGTAAAATATTTACACTTTTCTTTTTCGCTTTTAAGTTGACTTATACGAAGAAAACTGGCCGTGAGGACAAGATATACTTTGTGGCCGCTTTCATGAAACCTACACTCACAAATATAGTCCCGATTTATTCAAAATTAAAACTATATTCCTTAAGACATTTTCATTCAACGGAGGAACTGACAAGTCAAACTTAACACACGTTTCCTAATTTGTTTCCGCTCCAGCAGCAAGACAAAGTAGGCCTACAGTCGATCTGCTCACAGATGCAAACACTGACATAACCTAGATATGGAAGTTTGGCTCAAAATTGGATTTGAGTACGTGCACAGATAAACCTGCCAACAGAACTATACTGAACTTCGGTGATGCACATGTCAGCAACCCTCCTACACAAGGGTGAGACAGCAAATGACTACGTATTGTGTGTTGGAAGTGCAGTGAAGTGAACAAAAGTACAGTACAATACAATCAAAGGGGCAGTGTGTTACGATTAGCTAGTGTCTCTACTGGTAAGGTTACTTAACTGCTCTATCGGGATGTGTAAATAATTGTGGTACGTCGGAAGGTGCACAGGAAGTGACTTATATATTTATAGTATTATAAAGACAATAATTTAAAGGCACTAATGAAAGCCACTAAAGGGACATTTTGACTACAGCGTAAATCGCTTTCCGCATATGATAATGGCACCAAGTATTAAACACTTTTACATTTCCATATATTCGAATAATCACTATACTCATTAATATGCATACACCAGCAGCTTATACAGAATGCCTTAGCTTACCTAGAATGAGTGTACCATGAAAATGAATGTAAAAGAACTGACTTACTCAGTACATTCGACCATAAACTATAATGATTACGTACATTACGGTCCTTTCATTAAACAATATTTTTCTTACAACTAGATTTATCAGAAAAATATCCCATCATTTCGTCACATACATTTGAGTAGCTGCAAGTCCGCTTCCGAATAGGGCAAACATACATTTTAAAATATGATTTGCGAAGACATAAACAAAGTTCTTACAAATTCGATATTACAATTACTGCCCTCCTTTTCATACTAAAACATCATTTTGGTACAGAAGCTCACAAGCAATAAACAAAGTAATAATAACCTGCCACCTCTTTTTTTGTCTTCTACAAAGACAGAAAAAACCAAATATTCATACTAACCACACACTCAATACAAACAAAACTTAAACCCATTATAAATCGTCATCTTTACGCGTACGCTTTCGACAATATTCCAGAAGTCTACGTTGACGTTAACCTTCTGGGATGTAACGTTTTGGAGGTACATACTACCACCACCTTCTGGGCTAAAGATGGAGATAGCACGTTCCTCCGCAATGTTTATATTCACCTACAAGTCCACAGGCATTACAACCCAGAACACTAGCATCAATATCTTTACTGCTATGATAACTTAAAATCTACCACAAATCTACTGCAAAACAAGCACTGCACATTGCTTTATAATCAAAGCTTTACTTCAAATTCAGCAAACTACATGATGGAAATGAAGATGGCAGTCTTCTATGTTGTAACACTGTGTAATATGGAAAAAGTTTACTGACACTGAGGTAGAAGTTCAATGCCCTGATGATGGAGGCAGCAAGCACTTCTCAAATGTCAATAACTTCTACCAGACTACACAGTGCAACAAGCCAGAAAACAGCCATCATTCTCGTCACCATAAAAATTAGAAATCCTTGATATAAAGTTATTTAAAGAAAACGGGATTCAAGGTTTTCGCAACGGAGAGTCTGAATACGACCTTGCTGCTGCCATCATCACGGCAATGAAAAGCTGGTAGAGTCCTACCAGATTACACAATGCTACAACCCAGAAGAAAGTCATCTTCTTATTTAGACTACATTCACAATACATGAAAACTCCTACTTCATTAACAAAATACTACCCAGGAGGGCCTCTGGCCTTTGCTATATGGTGTGGTCCATCCACATCATTAAAACAACATCACTTCTTACGCAATATATATAAAAATTCATACTTATCATTATGTCCATATCCTATTTGAACACATGTTTTGGGTGCAGACCTATTTACAGTTCCATTTTAAATTGGTAATTAAATAAATTTAACATATAAAATACATTCCAGAATCAGAGGAATGCAAAATGTATAACTACATTCTTTGCTGCCTGTGCTCATTTATAACGTACACCATCTGTAATTCCACATGCTAAATGTACTAAGTTTTTTAAGTTCCTGAAGATTATCAGTTTGGTTGAAACACGTGTATAAACTGCAGTCTCATCAACAATGATTCAGTAAAAAAGTCATGTTCTAGTATAGTTTATGTTGGAAGTTCGTGTTCCTGACAGAATACTATCACTAATGGTTAAAGTTGTTTGAAGAAATAATCACTACTTATTCTAAATACATTCTAAGGGTAAAATGCAGAATTACTTCATGTTTAAGTAGGTTGCAGGCCAACCATTTGGCTTTCAATGAGAAAAATGCCTCAACACCACCACCCATATCAATCATAATGAAGGTGGAAGCTGAATAACAGCTTGTTCTGTAGTGGTTATCATGAATCAGAATTCACAACTTTCTGCAGGGCCTCCAAAAACCTACTACAAATATCACGAACATTACACAATTCCAATAAATTAGCACTTCACACTATTCAAATCCTCAGCATCCTATTTCACTAACCTTAGAGATCAAAGTAGAAATTTCTTACGAATTCTTGAGATGAGATAATACACACAAGGATTTGTGTATTTTTATTACTGTTTCAAGTTCCTCTGCTTTCTGTAATTAGCATCAGTAAACAAGTGAACAAGAACTTCAACGTAAGTCTGTTCTGGTAGAATAAAATGTCTTAACAGGTTATATAATTTAACATTATATATGTTTCATTTACTTTTAGTTAAGGTGATGAGATAAGATGGTCTACTACACTGTCTACCTAGTGCATAATTAAGCTTAACAAACAACCAAAGTTTCACTGTTCGGCTTTGGTATTGTCATTAAGAACACAGGCACAAATGGATACACTAGTTTTCCCCATATATATTTTACATGAGAGAGACTGCCTAAACTTATTAGTCGAAATATCAGAAACACTGTACCACTGGGTAAGGCGTCATGTATCTTTGAAAAATTAAAGTGTACTGCAGATGAAAAATAGTTTGTGAAACACTATTGTAACATTTGTAAAAAAAGTATAAACTGCAAAGTTAAAATATTATCAAGCAATATGTTCTCAAACACCTACAACTTACATTCTTCCCTTAAAGTGACATATGAGGTTTCAAACCTACATAAAAAAATTTGAAAAATCAGAATTCATATACTAGTATTTTAATAAAATAGTTTGACATTTTAACTTACTGGTTGCAAGCATTTCCCAAATTTAATCTGCATTCAACTTCTTCATGAACACAATTCTTATCTCTTACTGTCATTCCCAAATATTTCAATTTTGTTCAAGTTCACACCAGATTGGTAGCCCCTTTTAAATTCATTTATGCTTCTATACACATCTCATACTTTTGTTGTTTCAAGCTACTTAATTTTCCCCTTAAAATATTCCCTGACAGTCTCTCTCTCACTTTTTAAATCATTGCAGTGTGGGTCTTTCCATCAGGAGAAATACAAATGTATTTGTGTATCATAATGTGGCACGCGCGCGCACACACACACACAACTCGGCTTATTGAACGAAACTATCAAAAATGTTGTTTATTGCAGGGCAGGTACAACAGTGTTAAATGACATAGATCAAGCAAAAATAAAAAATTAACTATCAAGTACAAACATGTGATAAACACTGTCAATCTTATATTTTAATTTAACATGAACATTCCTGATGAAAAACATTAAAGCTGACAGAACAGAATATATAAATATAGAACACAGACAAAACATTCTTATTTAAAATTAAATTTTGAACCACTACCAAGTTTTGTAAGAAAGAGGACAACTTAGTACATTGTAAAAATAAACTATCCATAGGTACCAAGTGCCTAATATCATAAATGATGTGGATGCATAACGGGGTTGCCAATGATTGTCTTACGTTGAAAAATCGAGTATTTGGTTTGTCAGAAAAGTAGCAAAATAACGAATGTTCCAACATAGAATAATTGAAAAATGGCGGTCAGGGTCTTGCCGAGGGGGAATCAATAAAGCTCCAAATCGGGTGCATGGGCAGCTCATGAGATGTGAACGGCTGATAGTAATTATCCTAAGACTCACCTGGGGGAGGTTGGCCGAGATCTGCCGCTGAAGGGAGTCTCGCTCCTTCTCTACCTCCACAAGTTTGGCTTCTGTTTCACTGAGTCGGTCCTGTGTCTCCCGCAAACTGTCCATGAGCTTGTCGCGCTCATCCAACATAGACACCATGAGCTGCTCAAAGTTCGCATCTTCCCCGGAGAATTGCGAGTTCATTTGGCTTATACTATCTTCTGATATGGTAGGCATCACATCACACATCATATTCCACATCTTCACTTGTTATAATGAAGCACCGACACGAAACAACTAAATATGAATTCCGATTACATACGACAAGCGATGTCTACAGTTTAATCAGAGTGGAATGATTCACTTTATTATACGGCACATACGACTATTATTATTACCTAAATCTCACACACAGAATTAACGCTCTTTCCCAACTACGTACGGACACAGTAATACTAATACAACAGCATTTTATCGGCATTATTGTCGGAACACTAGTCTGACACACCTACAAATTCCTACCAACCCAGTCCTAATACTACACTCCTGTAACCCAGCGGCCATCTTTGACAATGACGTCAGATTCGCATCGACAACGATATCAAAATTCCGAAGTACATGAAGCGTATAATATTTCATATATAATAACTGCACAACCTGTTAATGTAACCCATCACATATAAAGTGAACAAATTCTCTGTATGTTTTGAGTGTAAAATGTTTTGTTTTACCTACCAGAATCATATAGTACCTCGTCTCAGTTCGAGACATGTTACTATTACAACCTCTTTGTGAATGTCAGGTGACTGCACAGTTCAATATGGCTGACGATGGTGGGGGTTGTTTGTTTCGTGAATTTCACTTATTTTGTATTTTTAAGACTGTGCCAACATGCCTGAAAATAATTGTGTAACTGGACATAACTTTAGTGGGAGAAGATGTCGGGGTCGAGTAAAAATGCAGGAAGAAGGATGAGTTCGCAGAAGAATTTAAACAAAAGTCTTGGAGGTTAGGCAGTGATTACGGTTCAGAAGTTTTCTTTCAGTGCAAGGGCATATCAATCTTTTAAAACATAGCAGCTTAATGAGATAAATATTTCAGCAGACGTATGTTATTTCTTGTCATGAAGGATGTCTCGAGAAACTGAATTACATTAAAATAGTCTGAATAAATAATTCCATCTAGATATTTATTTACGTCTATGAGTTCACAATACTTGGGCATCTCATAATACATTTGATATAATGTAACAAATCCTTTAATTTAGTATGCTGTGAAAGCAGACAACTGAAGGACATCATTATTAAAATAATTGTAAAGGGATAACGTTGCTGGTCTCATATACCTGAAGTTTAACATGATGATGCAGTATTGGAGAAGCTTCAGCTACATTATCTTCATTAATTAGATACATCATAGATTTTGCATAAAACTAATATACTGGATTTGTTTCAGATGTAACTTTGAACGATTATGCAAATTCACCCATCTCCAATGGAAAAGGACGACTGAGAAAGGCTGCATCTAACAGTGTAGTTCGTGAAGGTATAATAGACACATCATCGTATAATCTTGATATTTCAGTATAGAACTGCTTGAATGGTTAACAAAATGACTAGTTCAGAAACTTTAAACAAAAGTAAAGCATCAGTAAATTTGTAACTGCATACACATAAAATGCTGTACAATAATTTTTATTCCATATTATATTTAATGATGACTTTGAATCTATGATCATAAACATTTTTATATTTTTTATACTGCAGTGGATTGTTTAAATAAATAAACAGCATCTATGTTTTGAGCAAAGGAACAACAGTACTCTAATTTGTCTACATCTTTGTAACTGTCATGATGTCTGTGCACTGTCATTGTTAATGTTTATTGTTTGTCTTGTTTGATATCTTGTAAGTGGTCATACCTTCACCTTCGTAGTACATGCCATATTGACTTCATCTCAACACATGAGTAAAACCTTTTTCCAATATCTGATGTTTATTTTCTAGTAAAACAGCTAACCACAGAAACAGATAATAGGGCTTGGTATGAGAAATTAGAAGACTATGAAGGAGATTTTGAATTTGTTGAAGATGATGAGGATGGCGAGAAAGGTAAGAAGAAGTATTCAAGATCTGTACACAGAGAAAGAGACAAGAGTTGCTATATTCTTTACGATAATATGGCGCTTTATCTCCCATAGTGTTGTGGAATAACAAGATACTGGGTTTTCATTTCTATTTCCTTCTTATTTCTCTTTAGTTTATCTTTCCTAATTTCTTCTCTCCTGTCTTTATATGTACTGTTTATTTCCATGTATGTCACTCTGTCTCTTCCATGTGGCCTTGTTGAGGTCCTCCTTTCTCCCATTGGATCTCTTGTTCCTGCTTACCTTCACTCCAGTTCTCTCCTCTCCCATTAGTCCAGCCAGGACTCTGCCTGGCCAACCTACTCCAACATTTTCACATGCAGATTACTCATCACACTGATGATGAATAATCTCTGAATTGGTGGTCATTATCTACCAGACTTCACAGTTCAACATCCCAGAAGACAGCTGTTTTAAAATGTAAAGGTCTTTCCAGGCATATTTATTGACAGGTATCAATAAGTATGTCAAATGACTGTTTAGTTTTCTCAGGATGTCAAATTAAAAAAGAGATGGGAATGTGGACTAGAGATAATGATGATTTTCATTGGTATAGCGACAGCATATGATAGAATACAACAGAATAGAATTTGTTTAAATTCCATAGATCTGTCATAGGCCAAAGCCAAGGATGTCATAGCACAAGTACAATACTTGTTTCTATTACAAGTATAAATTACATAGTAATGACAGTAATTTAGTCAGCTACAGTAGTACTGCAGAAATAATTATGCAAAATGCATATCCACTATTGCTTACATATATTTATATTAGCTAAGAAATTTTGGTTGAGGTAGTTTTTTCTGTAGAGTAGGAGTGAGATAGGAGATGATTTAGTGCTAACTTAAACTTCTCTGTATCATGATTCATACTTTTCATAGTGGGGGGAAGATTACTGAATAGCTTAATTCCAATATAGTAAACCCCTTTTGGATTTTTACTGAGTTTAGTGTTTGGCATATGAAGATTATATGTTGTCTTGTACTTATATTGTGGACGTCTGAGTTTGAAATTTTTCTGTGTTATCCCCTACAAATGATAATGAGAGCAATAATTTGCTGACTAGTGTAAGAATATTAAATATCTTCAACAATTTCCTACATGAAGCTCTCCCTTTAGTGAAGATGAATAATTTAGAGAGATAATGTACCAGTTAATGGGCATGTTACATATGAATAAAGTGGGTAGGATATCTGTGAAATAATTTGAAGGATAATGAATCATATTAACTTGAAACACTTCAGGGACTGATACAGGGAAATATACGTTAACCATTGTTGTTTTAACATTGTCCTCTTCATCAGTTGATTAGGTTGAAACCATTTACAACTTTATAGCCATCTTATGAATGGCCATGAAGTCTTGGAGTCTTGTGAACGTGTGTTCTGCTCAAGTTAATCAACCGCTTTTTTGGAAAAGACTGAAAAATACCACAAAAGTGATAGATGATATAAAAGTCAGGAAAGAAGTAAAAAAAAATAAATAAATAAATATATATATATGCTTTTCTTATTTTTGTGATAAAATTGTATCAAGTGGAAGAATACTACTTGAAATTACAAGGAAAATCTGTAGAATTAGAAAGGTTTAACAAACTATTAGTTAGAATTGGAAATTATCAGAATATGTTAAGGTATGTTATATAAACTATATTACTTTCCAGTTTTGACATATGGAGTGAAAACTTGGATATGTACTAAAAGAGACATAAGCATGCTACAAGCAGTAGAAGTTAAGTAAGAAATGAATAAAAGTGGATAAAATTAAAAACCAACTTACTTTGTGTATATGGGATCTGAAAGTGGGGACACTACAAGGAATGTCACTCAAATTAAGGATACAGCACTGAATGTGCAATGTGTATAAACAGCATGACCTTGCAATAAATATGAGTCTATCATTACTTCTTAATGTTGTAGCAGTGATTGTGAAGAGGCATTCACGTCGCCGTAGGAAGACTGCAAGTGAGGGTGGTGATGATGATGGAGTGGAATATCCTCTAGACATTTGGTACCTTATATCTGAATACATTCGTCCTGAGGATGTGTCAACATTTGCTCGCATATGCAAGAGTGCTCTGCATGTTGTTAGTACGGCAAAATTTTGGTTTCGTCTGTATAGAAGGTACAAATACAATTTCACACAATACTGGTTTATTAAGGTGCTAAACATTTCTCTAATACAGCATGATGGTGCCTCATATAGAGTAAGGACCATCAGCTTACCAATAAGGATACCCAAAGGGAGCCATTCCTTTTTCTGTGCAATGAAAGCCACCCAGCTCAGCTTATAGTGAAGTTGGGTTGTAATTATGGCTCTTGCTTTGCTATTAGGCATTACAAGACAACACCAAATTTGCCAGAACGCCTGCAGCCTGAATGTATGGTGCGTTTATATGGGCTACGTGCATGTGTGATCCGAGCACTGCATTACACATACCCTCCATTTGTGAATAAACTGAAGGCTGTCACAACATTTGAAGGAGAACCACACGACTTGATCAAGCGGCAGTGTACCCTCATGTGGCACCAGGTAATATCAAAACTCAAACCAATTACAGTGACAGGTTTAAGAATGAATAACTTACTCACTGCATGCAGCAATGTCATAATTTTAAAAGCTAATATGCACTTAACTAGTCACAAAATCCCCCTGCCATAATGAAACCTAAAGGCTTATTACCATTTCATTAGACCCTTTCCTGAGATAGTTTAATCCAATCCATGCTCTGTTTCTCTTAAGATCCATTATATTGTTATTCTCTGCCTAGATCTGTAAGTAATCTCTTTTGTTTCAGTTTTTCTGACACAGTTTGTATGCATTTCTTATCTCTCATGATATATCTGCCACCGACCTTATCTTACTCATCTTCCGGAATTCAATTAAAACCTCACTGATTTGCAGTTCTGTAATTTGGATGGACTTTTGTTTTATGTGTTTTATTCAAACAGAAAGGAGATTTTTCCTAACAAGAATTTAATTATACAGTTTCCCACTTCCTGTTGGCTTAGAAAAGTTTGCGTAATCTAATAATGTTACCATAAAAAAACTATAAAATAAGCAAACAAACAAACTATTAACACTATAAAAAAGACACTAGTGCCATATGCGTTTCAACCTCAAGACGTCATCATCAGTGGCAACAGGGAAATTAATTCATTTAATCAAAATGGTTTAAAATGGTCTAAATATGGTTTAGAAAACAAATCATGAAGTGGAGTATTTTACAAAAGCATATCAAGCAACACTACACTAGATGTTAGTTTCACAGGAGTTGAACTCTGCACTTAGCTACTGATCCAATGGTCCGGTGGCCGTAGCTGGTCTGTGGCGAGCTGTTGTTGCGTCGTCCATACCTGTGAACTCCAACGAAGCATGGGAGTTGGACTTCACAGGCAGGTACGGACGACACAGCAACAGCTCGCCGTAGACCAGCTATGGCCACCAGACCATTGGATCAATAGCTAAATGCAGAGTTCAACTCCTGTGAAGCCAACATCTAGTGTAGTGTTGCTTGATATGCTTTTGTAAAAAACTCCACTCCATGATTTGTTTTCTAAACCATATTTAGACCAATTTTAAACCATTTTGATTAAATGAATTAATTTCTCAGTTGCCACTGATGATGACCTCTTGAGGTTGAAACGCGTATGGCACTAGTGTCTTTTTTATAGTGTTAATAGTTTGTTTGTTTACTAATTTTATATTCTAATACACTACATGATATGCAAAGTTTTAACATAACAAAACTGTTTATAAAACCGTTATGCTTTTTGTGTTCTAAAATTTGCATACTCATATACTTGGCACTAATTTGAGTTCTAATAGAAATAGGTTTTGATAGTTCAAGCATAAGTGAATTAAATCATGAATTACCAGTAAAGTTCTTATTTTCGCTAATTCCAGAAATGCCTATTCCATTGGCAGTTTTTCTTCAAGTTTAAACAGAGCAGTCTAGTGTTGGGACGAGGAACGGGAAGAAGGGCTCAAAAGCCTGATCTACTTGAGATGTTGGAAGATGTTTCAGCTAATCAGGATGAAGGCTGCAAAGTTTTACAGGTACATTCACATCTTATGTGATATCTTAAAAGAATACAGGATTGAGTATTTCTCAAAGGCCTGTGACCTCCCCCCCCCTTTTTTTTTACCATCGGGTCGGAGCTCACCCCTTGTGACATTATTAACAAGTTCCCTCTGATAGGGACCTGTTCATATGTTTCCTCAGCAAATGATCCAGAAGTGGTTTGCCATTGCCTTATTCTGTGTGAATGGAGTAATTGTTGGGATGCCACAGAGAAACCGGGGACGCCCCGGATGAAAACTCCGTGTTGCCTAGACCACAGCCTTGCCCAACACAAGTTATAAATTCGGGCACCGCCGATGCACTCTACATAAGAAATAATTTATAAAAATACCTTCAATGTTCACTGTGAGAGTTTTCAATTTGCAGGTGACATGCTTGAACTATGTTGCAATACCAATGGTGATGGGTCTGTCTCTCTGTTCTGTGTCACTCACTATGTCGCAAGGAATGCGACACTACAGGCTACAGATGTCCTTTGGATCAGGCCACATGTGCTATACGGTTGGTAAACCAAACATTTCATCTCTGGACTGCAGCACTGTCGTACTTGACCCTGTAGTTAATATACGCGTCCTTGATTGGTGGCATCCCATGTATCCCCATGCTTCTGTCACCACCTTCAGTCCAAAGGACGGGGATTAGATATGGAAGGATTAGTTCAAAAACAATTATCCATGTTTAATCTCTCATGGTAATTCCTGTGAGACAGTGAATTGATCTGTAATTAGTGATATTAATACTAAACTTTGATGCCACAGAAGAAAGATATGTCCTGTGCTGTGGTAGTTCACTGTTTTTTTTTTTGTGGTTATGGTATTTTGTCAAACATAAATTTAAATATGTGACAATATTAATTCATGATTAATTCAAAATTTGCTTATTTTTTCTCATCAGAACTTCAAAAAACAAACATGTCAATGCTTTCAGAGTGATTATGTATGCCTGTATTGTTTTTGTGTATGATGAAGAAGCTGATAAACCTCTTTAAGAGATCTAGTGTTCATCTTGTGCCTGAAACCACTGTAGTTACACTGAATCAGAATTTGATTATAAATATAATTTTTTCACTTATTATTTAATGGAGGCATTTGATAATTCCTTCATTTCCATGTAAAATTCTTTGTTTGAGTGTACCTGGAATAGAAAATTAAGTTCAGTCTTTTTCATATGTACAGCATCTGAATTTCAAGTTTCATAGAATAATATGTAACTTGAAGAGAGGCTGCTGTACTAAATGTTGGCTGGTTATACGTTTCAGATGTAACTGAACTACATAGCCAAACATCAGCTTAAGTAGCCTCTATGAACATCCATTTATATTAGTTTTTCTATGCATTAATGTATCTGTAATTACTATGGCAGCCATGAGAAAAATAATGATATAACAGTACAGTTAAGCAGTACTCTGGATGTTGAGTTTAATTTAAAAATACTAACTTAAATTCAGTACACTTTTAATAAACCTATCAGCTGGAACAAAGCAGATTAATTATCACATTTTTCAAAAAGAATGAAGTCTGATAAACCTTTCAGTAGGCCAGTTTGAATAGTACCATATGTGTAAAAGAGTGTTTTAAAACTAATTCTGAATTTGATTAAGATGGGTGGCCTAATCCATGACAAGAAGAAGAAGAAAAGATATTCTCAAAAACATGCATACCTGAGTGAGCAAATAAATGTTATTTTGGTTTTATCCAAATTAGTGGTGAATTTTCCAAGTTCTAATCTTGAAAGCTTTTTATAATTTAGAAATATACAAAGATATTTAAACAGTTTATAAATCATAGACAATATTATATCATTATATACAAGTATAAGTAATGTTTATGTGCACTGTACTACTAACTACATACTTGATAGTTCATTGTACATTGTTAATTTCTTACTACATTTGACTGTTGTTTCTAGTACTTTAGAAAGCAACTGATTAGGTGGGTTCCTAAACATACTAAACTATATTTGGGATTTTTGCAGGAAACACCAAAAACTGCTTACAAAGAAGTCTGTTCTGTAGTTTATTTTTAAAATAACAGAAGGCATTTATGTTCCAAACTACATTAAGCCGTGACTTGGTGCTGTTTTTAAAACAATATGAATTCTTACATAACATGGCTCAGATTTTGTACAGTAAATTTCTTGAGTTATATATATATACATACATATACATATATATATATAGGTCATATGGCCTGTTGTTTTTGTAGTGTAAGTCACTTTTCTTTTTGTGTCCTACCAGAGCTCTCTCTTCATATGAATTGTCTCTTGCAACTTGGACAGCCCCTTCAGGTGAATTTCTTTGTGGCAAATTATGTAATAATCTTTTTAGTACACAAAACATTGCAGTTGTAACTGGCATATATCTCAGTTATTTTTTAAAATACCAATAATATTACACAAAATTATTATTAGTGTAGTAATACAACCTAACAAGCAGCATGTTCATTCTGCTCAGATGAAGTGTGGAGCTGAATATCAAATGCTTGAGTTTGATAGCTTTTAACAAACTCATAACCATGAAACTGGAAGCACAGCAGAGCTCATGAACACAGAAAGTAACTTCTGGCTTTTGACACAGTTGTAAGTTTGCTACAAAAGTGTATCCAGATCATTTGCAGATTTTTATTTCTTTCCTAGTATACATAGTCTTACTCATTATATGCTGTTATCAGCAGTCTCCACCAGAGGAGAAAATTTAAAATATTGTAATCATGTACTTTTATTAGCCTTCAACTTACCGAGATTCTTTTCTAACTGCCTTTTGTTTAATGCAATTTAAATGCCCAGCAGAAACTCTGCATATGGGTCTCTTGAAAGTTAAACGATGCAAATGGTTTATTTTCAAAAGTAGGCATCAGATGTAAACATGTATTTCCTTCCCTTTTAGTTGTAACATAACAGGAATATCTTGCAGTGGTACAAGAAGTAGTAGATTATATACACTGACACATGATTGAACAGGCTGTCCCCTTTAAAGCGAGAGATTTAATGAGACTGTCAGATGGACTCTGAAATACTAGTGTACCTGCAGTTTGTAGCTTTGAGAATGACTGTTAATTTTTGGAGTTAATATGAATAAGATACTAATTAGTTTAATAATAAGGTGCTGTGTGTAAAGTACAAAATTTCATACAGTGTATTGTTTCTAATTATGTTATAACTAACTAAAGTCTCCATTCCTTGCTCTTTTATTGTGTATATATATATATATAAAAATTATTTATTATGATAAGCTTAAATATAAAAATATTTATTCATGTCCAACCAACCAAGTTACTGCCATACTTGTCATTGAATTCTACTTCTGAAATGAAAGGAACTCATTTTAAATTTTGTGTGTTATTACTGTGCTACTGCATAGTGATTAAGTCTTATAAATACTAACTAGATTACTTTATGCATTAAACCATATATCATATGATTGCCTAACAGTGAAACAGCAGTGGACACAGGTTGCTGTTTGCATTATACTTTATATGGTCTAGCAACCACCAGACACAGAACATCAAGGCAGAAGAATTTTATATTGTACAGATGAATTTAAAACTAAGTTGATTCTGTATACAAAAGTGACAGTGTTTCAAAACATGAAAATCAAAACAAAATGTTTAAATTGTAGTGATAATGTAACAGTCAGTATTGCATTATGGTGGCAGTACTTCAACAGTTTTCCTGTGGTGAACTTGAACCCCAGGAAACTTTCTCCTAAATTTCCTCAGACACTTCATATCAAACTTCCACTTTACATAGGATTCATTAAGAACACTACATTCTTTAATGTAAATGTATCTGAGTCTGGCACAAAGGGGGTCTTTCTCAAGGAAACATAACAACACAGCAGCCAACACAGTGGTAGTGCATACCAGGAAGGCTGTGTGTCAGCCACCACATACTCATTCTGTATTTTTGTATAAACTGTGAGACATAAATTATCCTTGAAAAGTTAATTGTAAATGCTGATGGTGCTTATGTGAGCTGCTGATGTCTGTAACTTCCCTTGATACTGGCAACTAAGGATGTTAGATGTTGCACTGCAATTTTGTATTTCAGATTTAATTACATGCTGGTACAATTTTCATCATAGTTACTACAGAATTCAAGCAGATGGTAACTGTAAGAAGGTGATGGTCCCTGTGCAGTTTAGGAAAGATTATTTGCATATAATTTGTGTCATGTAAGTCACTAACTGCATTTTAAATGGTTTTTAGAAAAATTAGTTTTAAGTTCTTATAGCTGTATCTAAATGACGCCTAATGAATTATTAAACTGTTTATATGGTAATATGTTAAGATATCAGTTAGTAACATCTTTTACACGTGCTTCTGAACAATATCACTTTGATGTGCTACTTGAGTAATTTTAATTAAAATGTTAGATGATTTTTCCACATCACCAACAGTATATAATAATAAAGCAGTGTGCATTCCGAATCACTGATACTCCTCTTCGTGAAGTAAATCATATTTAGCATTCATGTTGGTCTCCACAAAGTTTAGTTTTCTGTAATATTTCGTTAGACTTGCTCATTTAGAACTTGTTTGAATAGTATGTTTATTAAAGTTTTAATTCTGTGATTCATCATGTATTATTTTATTTTCTAATTACATATTAATTTGTCAGACATACTGTAGTCCTGAATATTTTTTATGAGCATAACTGCTCTGATTTGTGTGATATGATATGTGATTACAATTGTGAATGTTTATCTCTACAACAGTATATATTATGCACCCTGTTGTATTTAATATGATACAACATGGTTCATTTTAATGGGGCAACTTGTTTAGAGTTATGTAAAATTGAAACACCAGTTTTTCTTTTGTGATCTGTATTACTATAAAAGTTGCTGTTAATAGACTATTAATTTTGTTCTCATGTTAAGCATACATTTTTTTAACTGAGATAGTAAAATTTACAAAGGATAAATGGTAAACTCTCACTTATCCAGGCTAATAAAGGGGAGAAGACGTGAATAAATTAAAGCAGGGATAATCCATGCATCACTCTTGTCACCTATAATTCAATGTCATCTTTGTAGACATCTTCTGAACTTCTCATAGTACATACCATTGCAAGAATTCAGACTCCCTGATTTCTTCATTAGGAAAACATTGTAAATCATCTTCTACATCTGGAACGAGTTTCTTACAGTGTTACTGGATTTATAGAAGACCATGTCTGAGATACACTGTATCTCATTGTCATATCTCTCCATAATGTAGTTGTTTTCTTTATCGACAACAATTGAGAAGGTCAGACCTGTAACAAAATTTCATAGCTGCAATTACTCAACCCCTGCTTCATAATCTTTGATCAATTCAGCTGCTGATTTTCCATTCTCAGATTTTTCCAGTAATTAGCTTTTGTTTTACTCTCAGTATAATTTTCTTATTATTTTCAGACATCTTATTTTAGATCCATAAGTGTTAACTATCATTTTCACTTGATGCAGACTAAAACAACAGAAATAAGTGTACTCATATTTGAAAAAAAAACAAAGTCCACCTGCAACATCATCCCCTTTCTGGCATCGTGGTCATTGAAATAAACTTCCCAACCCAACCACCAATACTGAACATAAAGCGCTAGAAAACTACCAAGAGCTAATCTCAAGCACATATAGAAAGATTTTAAAAAAAACCTAGTTCGTAGGTATCTGCATTTAACAACCATGTATCGATAATTAATTTGAGCGTTATGAAGAAAACCCATGTTTGGTTCTGTGTTAACAAACTGCAATAATTTGTATGATTTCTGTTAAGAAAATAATTTAAGTTACAATTCCTGCAGGCATTGACAGTTTGTGTTTAGCAAAAAATGTCGTTCTGTGTTGAACTATGTTCATGAGACAGTTGAAAGTGAACATTCCATGAGAATTGCTGAAACAAGTCAACCTGTTTTGTTCCTACGAATTTCAAGGGCATTAAAGTGTTTTTTCCTGTCTCAAAAGGAGCATTCAGCACAGCTATGGTAAGAGTTTCCTCTCATAGAAAGCTTGAAAAATGTTTGTACAGTAATGTAAAATTGTTGGTATGTGATATTTTCGGATTTGTAATTATATTTCAAATGTGATGGTGCATACTTATTTTTATACTAACTCCTTGACCATATTCACTATTATTTGCAGTTTCATGTATTAAAACAAACTGAAAGAAAGCTACTGTTACTAGCTCAGATAATATTGTTTGCAAGTTATAAACCTAACCTATCTGCTTCTCTGAATGTCTGCAGTGGCCTTGTGTAACTGCTTTCTTTGTTCTGGATAAAGTCCAGAACAATGAAAGTGCATCTTTTCATTTTACATACCTCATTCTAAGGAGCAAAATTCCATTTTCCAACCGAATATCTTGACTGAGTGATTAGTGCACTTCAGATCCCAGATACCAGCTATAGTGACAGAAGTTTAATCTGGTTTTGCTCAGTCCTACCAGGCAACTGATGGGACTGCTCTTCTGCTTCTTTACCAATTCATAATTCACATACAATTTGATGCTACATAACCTATATTGATGAGAAAGCACAGTCATTTCTATGCTCTGAAGTGAAGACAGTAAGAAGTTATGTCATATTCAGTCGGATTCAAGACAGTCGTTCATTTTTCCCCGCTACTACACATTATATACATATATTTGACAGTTATAAGCACAGTGCAGAACCCACTGATGTTAATTCTAAGACGCCAAATAAAATTACTCATAACTCGAAGTGCAATTCATTACGACACACTTAAATTTTATTATAATGAATACAAATGCATGCTGCGAAATTTCTAATCATACAGCGAGTATACAGCACCGAAAATCACAAGCAGAAAATAAACATCTGAAAGTTGATAGCTTACGCTCTCCTGAAACCACACGTGTTTGGCGTCTCTTACAGTAGCCTCTCCGTCACCTTTGATCATGTGAGTTCCAAGGTCTACGAGAGCGAAAGTTGTTTCTACGTGGTTTCATTAATTTTTACTGCATGTAGTACGTCATGTTAATTTATATTTAAATAAGGGTACATACAGTTGCGCCAGTACCGAAGCATCACGCAATGAAGACGTGGTAATGGTCACAGTAAAGCCCCAAGCATTATTAGTCTTGGAACTTGATAGAGGCTGGTGATCAATTTAACACTACGGCAGTTTATAATCGGTAAAAAAAGTCTCGGGTACTCCACTGAATAGGAGTACTCACAAATAGCCTAGATGTGGCAGAGAAGGAAGAAATCCCGACCGCTTCAGGTAATGGAAGAACCCTGGTTGTCGAGACCTTTGCCAATCATTTTACTAAGAGGTATTTCGGTTCATGTGTTTTTATTTTAAACACAACTTGTTAAATAAACTTTTGCGGTTAAAATATCGACATTAAGTATGCTGCCTTGACACAAAGTCACATCGAAGACAAAAAGAGAAACAGTAAATGAAAAGATACATGAAGATTTCTGTCTTCTGGGTTGTTGCGCTGTGTAGTCTGGTCGATGTTTACCAACGTTTCAGAGGTCATACTGCCTCCGTCATCAGGGCGCAACAACCCAGAAGACAGAAATCTTCATACTCACCGCTGTGAAAACCTCAAATCTTACACAGAAAAGATACATCTTCACTGTGCTAAATTAAATGCAACGCAATAAAGAATTACGGAAGAATAAAACTGCAGCTTTGCTACACAAAATTAACTTCAACACTAGTGGCAACACTAAAAACAATTATTAATATTTTTCCGTATTGTTTACTTGGTATTAAGACCTGGTTATAGTTCTTATATCAAAGCGGAACATAGAGAACGTCTAAAACACAAACCTGTTTTAAGTCAATGTGTCTGTCTATTGTCCATAAGTTCAGAGAAAAGAGACGTACGTACAAATTAGATTTCGGCTTTGAGCCTCATTTGTTTAAGTCCATCCAACATTTAAGCAAACTTTCCAGTTGCCAGCTTCAGTTTAAAGTGAATGTTACAGTTAGGAGCTAAAGCAAGAGTAAGCGCATATTAAATTCTAATAACTGCCGCATTTTTTATGCAAAGATGTGACTACAGCCTAGACAGAGAATATTCGTCTTATTATACAGGCAAATGATAGTAGGTGTTCTCCTAAAGTACCTAAATTAATTAAACATAAATTAAATGGAGTTTAAATTAAATTAAAAATAAATTGGGTTTGAGCTTCTTACGGCGGTAAGTACAAAGATGGCTGTCTTCTGGGTTGTTGCATCTCAGAAGACCAGCATCAACTTATGAATAGATTGTACGTAGAACGTCAACCGCCGAGCTGAGAACCCAGGTTTGTGGAACAAGTTGTAGTTGTGACCTACTCAAGAACCGTCTCGTGGCAGTTGCACAAGGCGGACATCTGTTGGCTGGCTCAAGAAACTCCCACAGAAACTTTGCTTTTCTTCTGCTACGAGTCTATTATTTATAGTCTTTCCACAAAACTTGAAAATGTTTACAAGCCCGCTCTCTATTTGTTTTCGTAGATTGCGTTTCTCCTTCGCCTGTTTTCCCACTTTCTCTCCAACGACTTCACCCTAGCCTTCATCTGCGTTCATCTGCGGATGCTCCCAGTCTTATTTCTACTTCACCCCTACCTCCCCCTCCCTTGCCGGTGTCAAATTTTAAGGCCAAATGATTGAGATGAAAGCAAACAAGAAACAAGAAATTCCTAACAAAAGGGCAAACTGAAATTTCATTTTTCCATGTCGACATGTATTAAAATGGCTGTCTTCTGGATTGTTGTGCCGTTTAGTCTGACAGACATTTCCCGCTATTACAGTGGTGCCTGCTGCCTCCAGCTGCTCGCGGTTTGAGATATATGTAACGCCAAGTTGTACGCCAGAGTTACCGTGAAAAAAATTAATAGTTGAGCTGCCTAGTCTCATTATTACACACTGTACTAGCAAAATTACCCATTATTCGTCCATTTTTTACTTAAACTACACTGTACCGAAAAATTTAAATTCCTTATTTGTTATAACAATATTATGAGTAGTGTCTATACATTCCCTCTGATCAATATTCTGCCTATTTACCGCCCTGACGCCGCCTGGTGGTCGCTTTGCACATTAAAAGGGTTGCCAAGCAACAAAAACAGTGATGGACATAGATCACTCATGAATATTCACAAAACTTTTGCCACGTAACAAAACAGCATCAGACAATCGCTTTTCTGATGTTAAAACTGATCACGGGTACCTAAGAACTGGAACAGAGAAGGAGCAATGGAGAAAAGGGACGAAGGGATTCTACACAGGTCTAAGGACGAAACAAAAGACGGGGTTAAATTTGCATCTTTTATGGCTGAAGCGTCAGAAACAGAACAACTTATAGCGCTAACATTTTGGTAAGAAACATCTTCACCCTGCCTTCCTCAGGTCATCATTACGTTTACGTAAACCGCCATGATCTATAGTGGAAGACCGTATCTATTGTTTTAACATATATGTCAGAGGTTGTGATCTGGTAGACTTAAATTTGATTCACAATCTTCTCAAAACAGTTTACAATTAATAACCTTCCCTTCGGTATATTATTTATTTCATATCACTGACATAACAAAGGAAAGTTATTTACAGTGTAATCCTGTTTATCCTAATTAAACGGGATAAAGGGCAGTTGGGTAATAGGAAATATCGGATAATACTGAAGACTAATGAAAAAGACGAGGTTAAATATCAACTCGTTTTAGAACTCAATTTATAACATTAAATTATGAAGTAAATATAATAAAACATGAAATGGAAACTTTCACAAACAATTATAATCTTATTTGAGGTTCTCACGGCGTTGAGTTCGAAGTTGGACGTCTTCTGGATTGCAGCGCCGAGGAGAATGGTAGAATTTTGCCATCTTTTCAAAGATCGCTGCTGTCTCCATCATCAGAACGATGACTCCACGGTGCTATGGCCCATAAGAGAGCTATCTTCTAAATATAGTATTTAACATAATGTAAATTTGTAAATAATAGTTTTTTTAAAAAAATATTAGTAATGGATTGTTTGCATCTGAGATCTGCGGAAAGGTCACGTAAGCGCCTGACCAGCCGCAAGTGTGTGGAAACTGAGTAGGAATGTAGAAGGTTCGTGGTGAAGGAGTAACTGATTCATTCCGCTGATTTTACTGCGGATACAATTGACCTTTCCGACACGGCACATCGTGCGACCAAAGCCGGACTCAACTGTACAACAAATTGTTGTGCGAAGAGTATTTTAAACCTAACAGATACACAACATGACGCTAAAATACAATCTGATGTTATGATCTGTGTATATGTTTTGCATCATTTATGACGTGTGGTCTAAACAACTGTCTGTATGGAACCGACATTCACGAGGCTAGCGATTAGTGAAGCCAGCCGTCCGCGAGATTCATAGAGCTATAAAACGTTAACTGATTTCTTGGATAAACCAACTTTTATATCTTGGACAGATTAAGTTCCTTATAGTTGACCTATGAAATTGTCTCCTGTCGTTAATATTGGCGCTGACGTGACTTAATTTGACGCAGTTTAACGACACAGGCCTACTCTTATCTTGATAAAGACAACAGGGTGATTACGAAGTCTTAATTTGTAAGCTAGTTCTGCGATTTTATTGGATTCATTAACATGTAGTTATTTTTTACCATCTTTGAATCAAACTCTCATCTTTCGAATTATATTTATATTTTCGATAGGAGACTCCTGACAGACGCTGTTGACTGAATTGTCACGGACAAAATTTGACACGAGATGAATTAAGGTTTGTACCTCTCGTACACAAAATGTCCCAATATCGCACTTGCCTATTTAACTACGGGTGCTTGTTTTGTAACTGACTTATATTAAATTTATAAAGTTAACCGTTTATAATATAATATTGAAATATATGTAGTATACGATATACATCACGCATGTAGGCCTGATATGTACAATTAGGGTAAAGTCCATCATACAAGCCTATGACCCAAGATGGAATACAAATAGGTGAATATTACACAGATTTAAATAAATTTAGTGGGCAGCTTACATTGTACGGGTAACACCTATACGATTGTTAGTTTATTTAACGACGCTTTCTAAAATACACTTATCATTTCGCTTCTTATCAAGGGATAATTTTGAATGACCAATAATGAAGGATGCGAATAACAACTTACTGTAAAATATTAACCCACATTTGATTGTAGGGACTGAGAAAAATTACAAACATTCTCAGGCCTAGAACAGAACATGGAACTTCAGGAATACCACACTATCGACTATATAACGCGGTTTTCGAATGGCTCTATGAAGAAACCATTAAAAACTAATATTCTTTTAGTAAGCCGACAAATACAAATTGAAATCTCTGGTAATGTAAAGTTATCATTTGTTTGCATTCAAAATAATTTTGTTTACTAAATTTGTCATATAATTTCGTCGCCATCGCATTTCCTCACACCATCTCGGGTACATGGCAATTATCTATAGTCGTAAGATCTTAATAGTTGTGGCTTAGGATGGCTTAAGGCCTTGGGACAGACTGACTACGACATAAATATTATTATGGATGGGGGTGGCTGCAAGATGTTCCCTTTCTGACACGACGAGGGGATGAAAGTAAATTACAGAGCAACTTTACCTTTACCTTATGAAACTTCAAGAGTCTTTTGATTTCTACTTCAGAGCACACGAATAAAATACATATGCCTACAAGAGATTTGCATAATAACTTATTACAAATTTTTGAAATTTTGAACTTTTTTAAAATTATAAAACAGGTTAGAATACATATATTCCTATTCTTTATTAGCATCGCAACTTTCCAAGTATTTAAACACAAAGACAAAGTGAATATGCAAAATTACGAAGAACACAATTGTAAAAGAAACGTTTAGGCCTATTTCAAATTAGAAAACACTTTTCCATTATTTTTAGTGTCAATTAATTTGAAAGCCTCCCCTACAATCCGAGGTCTGTGAGTGTGTGTCTGTCTCTGTGCGCGCGCGCGTGTCCTGGATGTAATTGGTTTCGGAAAACTAAAATTGTCTGAGCACATCACAGTTCTGCTTTGAATGAAATCCTCCGTATTAAACGTAAACCACAAGTTGGATTCTGAGAACAGGCTTTGTGACTTGAGAGATTATTTCAAGGCCCTGAGCAACGCACACCGCTGAGTTCTTGCCGACAGCTCCCCCCCCTCTCAGAAACTAGACATTCCCGTCCTCTGGTAACGGCAAAAGATACTCAATTTTATGCTACAAAACTATAAATATAATTTACTTTAACTAAGTTTCGTTACCTTAGCCGGAAGACCTGGACAGAAAAGAGACCAATTCGTCGGAAGAGAATAAATAGGGTTTGAGGGTGTGG